ACATCTTGTACTTTAAACAATGAACATGTTTTTTATTATTTACAGTTTTGTTATTTTACACCAGTTTACAGCAGTCTTTATTTTTTTACAATATCAGCAGTCACTCGAACACTAAGGATAACTTGGTACAAAATACTTTACAGAATGAAGTTTTCCTTCACTCATCAGTTATGGAATACTTTGATTGGTTCATGCGCTTTATGCTGACATATCCACGCTTGAGGTCCTACTCAACCAGGAATTTACAAATAATTAGATGGTAGGTAGAGACATGCTTCGACAGAATCCATATTACTAATATGTATAATTGGAAGATTCTCCAGCCAATGAAAATGTAGGGTGTTCAAAGTTATAACAAAGTATGTCCTAACTACAAGGATTACATTATCAGCATTAATTTTCTATGAGTGATTAGGATGCTCATTAACATTTGTTGGTTATTATTTTGTATATATATATACATATATATATATAAGCATTTTCTGATAGACGTATGTTGTACTCTCAATCATCATTGTTCTAAGCAACGCTCATTGGCATACCCGGAGCAAGCAAATATATCATTTCTTGAATTGATTACTACTGTTATTGCCGCATTGGCTACTGCATTGGCTTGCGTTTTCTTTTCTGATCGCGAAATCGTCTGTTTTCCAATGACGTTTTTGTAATTTTTAAAACATTTCTCTGAGTCAAAATTAGATATGTCTCCGAGTCAAAATTAAAAATCTTATTTGACAAAGCATTTTGTGGACGGTAAAAATCTAATACTGGAGACTAAGCACTTCGATGCCGGTGGACCTACATTTTGTTATAATTTGACAGTGAAAATTTGTGAAACATCTTGTTAAGTCCATTACTTAGCACAACGAGTGTTGACATTTGTCATGCAACCTTTTGATGCGTTTCATCCTGGCCCAGCAAACACAAGACGTCATACTGACGTCAGATTTAAGTCAGGTTCTGACGTCGGATGACGGTCGGAAAAACGGTTGGATTTGAAAGTTTTTTTGACGTAATAATCTGACGTCAGGTAGACGTCAGAATCTAACCATTATCTAACCATTTCTGACCAAAATCTGACCATTTTCCGACCAAAATCTGACCGTTATCTAACCAGTTTCTGACCATTTTCCGACATCAATCTGACCATTTTTCCGACCTAAATCTAACCAGTTTCTGATCATTTTCCGACCTCAATCCGACCATTTTCCGATCTAAATCTTAACCCTTTTCTGCCCTAAACCTGACAATTTTCTGACCTTAATCTGATCATTTCCCTAATCCTTCTTGTTTACAATGTTATAAATATTTTCTGGCCAATCCTGATTTGATCAAATTTAATGCAACTCATTCTTTTAAGTAACTTTCACTCCAATGAAATGTATTACAAAAAACTAAAAGCAAAAATATGTTTTTATGTTTTTTATTTAAGATAAAAGTTGCAATTTAAAGCTGATACATACAGTTTTAGTTAATTCTGCAAGGCTAAATAATTTTCATAAACTAAACAAAATAAAACATAAAATAAGTTAACAACAAAACAAAAAGTATTACAAAAACAATGACATAAATGAAACTAAGAAATCATATACAAATATTAAAGAACAAAACAATGTATGAATATTTCTATCAAAGTTTGCCTTATCAAACAAAATAATGATAATATTATAATTTTAAGAAAAGTTAAAAGATTTGGATAATAATGTTTCAAGCAATTAATGACAGATTTTCAGTATTGTAACTATTTTTCTACAGCATTAGTAAAACATTTAGTGGTATTTTTCATATTTTGACCTCCTTTTGATAATTGTCACTAACATATAAATTACTTCCTTTTAGTTACTTCACAAAGTTACACTAACATATAAATTACTTCCTTTTAGTTACTTCACAAAGTTATACTTTTAAATATCCACGAGAATTAGCACGAATTTGGAGGTGTTATGCCTTTATGTCTGTCCGGAGGATATGTTAATGTCCAATGGCTTTTTGTGATATCATTTTCACTGAAAAAAAAAGAAATTTATAAAAATTGGAAAAATTAAAAGCAAAAATGTTTTTCATGGTTATCTGCCCTTTAGAAATTTTGAAAGTTATCTTAAATTAATGAACAACTTTGCTAGCTTTTCAGAAGTGAGCTTTAACAAAAATTAAAAGTAAAGATAAATACTGAAAAATTAAAAGACCGCTTAAAACTCCAGTTTTGTATATTCCAGTTTTGTATGGATTATAGTATGTAATAGAATTTACAAAAATCTTACTTACCCATGATTCAAGTTTCTTTTTACATTATTACGTATTCCTGTCCCTCCGACCTTTGAGAGCATGTCCAACGCTTGAACTATCTGAAAAGAAAATTATATTCTAACTTAATATGTATATTCTACTTATGAAATAAAACAGTTACACAAGTCTTAAATTTTTCATAGTTTCAAATTAAATTAAAGATTGTTAAGAAATTGTTGATTATAAATGTATGTTTATGTACTACGTTTTGTTAAAAAGTTTATGTTCTGTTTTGATTACATTTTTCCTACTATACTGTGCTCCTCTTAGTTCACGGTACTTAACACTTTAAAACAGTAAAGAACACAAACAATAAACTTACATAACAAAAACTGTTATAAACTGTATCATTTAGTCATTTTTCTGTTATATGACACAATGAAACAACAATATATTCAATCAAAATTAGTTTTAATTTGTCAGATGTAAAACTTGTGTCGGCCATTTTGAAAACAGTATGTCATCATTTACCTCGCGGTAATGGTGTTTTATTTCAGTTTTTCTTGTTTCAGTTAAAATTTCTTAAAGTTATTTTGCATAATTTTAAATATTAAAAGTATCTTTACATTGTAACTCAAAATTTATTTTTTCAACAAACAAGAACATTTAGAAAATGATGATTGTTTCAGACATATGCACAAATTTAATGGACTATTGTTGTTTTTTGCAGAAGTTTGTAAAATGTTGTTCAGTTTTACGTAAAAATCTATAGATTTAAATTATTTTGCACAAAAACTTTGTTGTTAAAGTGGTTGAGTAAAAAATGTCAATTCTGACCAATTATAACAATGGTCACATGAAAATATGCCATTACCGTGAGATAAGTGATGACGCGGAATTAGTGATGTTGAGTATAATGACTAAATGAAGCATCATTCTATATTACAAAATCATAATTAGATAATCTATCAATTCGCTATTTCATTATTTTCCGTTCATTTATTAAAATGATATTAAAATCTGGTGTAAAACACATAAAGGTTAGTTTATTTTGATAAAAAAATTGGGCCGATTGGGAAAATGCCGAAATGTTATTGTCTGGGACCGAATCGTCTTGAGTTATTTGGGACTGAAACGTCTTGGTCCGAAATGCTCGAAATCGTATCAATTCATTCTCAATTCTAAGATTTTAACTGACAAAAACATCATAGTTTAACAAAAAATTTCTCTTTGGTTGTGCTGAAAAGCACATTATAAACCCTTCACAAGCAGAGTTAAAACATGCCAAATTTGAAATGATTTATTATCAAACATTATCGCGAATTTGTGTGACATTTTTCTTCAACTGCTCAAATAAATTAATGATAATTAAATCTAATTATGCTTGCCATCATGCAATTATTTTTCAAATACAATGTAGAAATAAATTTACATAAATTGAACTGACCTTTTTATTCAAGGAAATCTGGAATATTCACTTTATCAATGCATCCCGATTCCTGATTACGAAACGCCTACGAATTTGAATTTTCCATCCACGTGTCTGTAGATTCGAATTATAATCATTGTTCCTTTCCTTTTTCTGTCACTATGATTAAATATCCATTAAAAACTCGTGATTTTGATACATATAATGTACCACAAATGATAATATTATAACGTTAAATGATTGGAACTCGTAAACAGATCTGTGGCTATAAATAGATTTCATAACAATAACACATGTAACTTGCCTATATACAGCGCCACCTATATGTTTTATTAGGTTGCAGCGCCGCGCACGTGGTCTTCGAAAGGCACTTGTATATATATACACTTAATTTGTAAGCCAAATAACATTTGAAAAAAATGTTTAAATGATTACAACAGCGAATAAGGATTACTTTTTGTTTATTTTTTACCTACTGTCAGGACACCGACCAGAACCTGACGTTAGAACGACGTCAAAAAGAAACGTCTAATAAACATCGGTTTTTGGACATCAGATTTACGTCGTATTTTGGTCGCCGACGTCGTGACCAAAATCTAACGGTAATCTGACGTTATTTTAACGTCATGTGTTTGCTGGGGGGTCAGTTATTACCACTGAATGTTTAAGTCCATCCTACAAAAACTTTTCATATCCAAATATTTATCCGATGATGTTTAAAATAACCTTTGGCATTGAATTGCTATTGAAATTTGTAGTTTGCCTATTACACGGGGATAGGGTGTTGACCACTTTTCCGCACAACGTCAAAATATACTTCTGACCGAGACATCATACAAAATAGATGTCAAGCCTGCATGCGACATGAATTTAATGAGTTCAGGTCTATCATGGGCCCTAGCTATTCCATAAAATCACTAAGAGTTCTAGATGATCTTCTAAAGAAAAAAAAGATACAAAATAGTAAAGCTTAAAAATTAAAAAAAAAACCAAAACTTACTTTAAAGTAAATACTTCAGTATAGTAGGAACTCAAGTTATTATTTATATTTGCTTGATGGCTGTAAATTTGTAACGATAATGCTACTTCCTTAAATGTATTTTTATCCAATTAAATCCGTGTGAAAATTTGATAAATAATTATAATGTATGAAATAAACATTTTACTTTGCACTTTGTATGTAAGTCATTGTGAAAAGGGAACCCTTAAATTTATGCTGTCCCACGTACTTGAAAATTGAGGAAACATATTTAAAAAATATCTAGTGAACAAAACATCATTCTCTTCCTTGAAAAAAACTTCTGGACCAAGGACAAAAATGCGTCTACCATCGTGTGAACCAAGACTGTGATTGGTTTAAAAAAAAAGAAAACTTACATAGCCAATCAAATCAGTGACGATATCTGTTCAGCGCTTATATAATTACATATACACATGTATTTGGACTTATTGTTGATAAAACGGTTAATCTCTGTGCTAAAGAATAAACAAATGGTAAGTTGAAACTTGAATATATTTATGCTTTTAAAAGAGTTATAATCTGCATCTTCAGTATTTCATGTACAGAATATGTTATTGAAAATGTGTTATGTACAGGCAATACCAAAAAGCCTTACAGAAACTAAAATCGTACAGGATTTGCAATTTGTCTTTATTTCTATAGATGCACTATTTTGTTCTTAGGAATGGCAAATGAAGTTGTTTACAATTCACCATTTAAGAAGAGTATTTTACTGGTTATGCTTAAATATGACTCATGATACAACAGTTATGCATGTCTTTTAATTGTTCTTTTGGTTTAATTGTTCAAAGTCAAGGTAAGGAGATATACATGTTTAAATTATAGGATGTTTTGTTGAAAAACCACACACAGCAGCAACAAAAACACACACACGTTCACCAGCACACAAACACACATACGCAAAAGAAAACACACACACAAGTAAACAAACGCGCACACGTGATGCTGAGAGCAGATCAACCTTAACTTTGATTTTCAAATCACATCAATGATTTTACACTTATGTTCAATTATTGTTTCAGGATATCGAAATAAAGATAATACTTCTGTTGTCTACATGTGTATTGCTTGTAAACACATGTGGCCGAGGTGGGAGACATTCTGTTGGAGCGAGAGTACATGGTAACCAGCATAGACAAACGTTTCATGGAAGGTACGACTACATGGAGAAAACTTGGGGTGGTCATGTTGGCGGAAGTGTTGATAATAGAGGAAACTGGAGAGTTGAGGCCGGTGTGAAAATACCAGTAGGCAAGAGAAGTGTTCAATCGGTAATTAAACATTACATGTATTGTCAAAATCATATATTTTGTATCTTGCAAATACAATCTATAGTAATATTGAATTTATTGGACATTTCTGGAAGCTTTTAAATAGTATTACTCCTGCCTGCCAGTTTTTTTTCTGTTATTCTTTGAAGAAAATATTTAATGTGTCATCGTAACAGCTTGTAAAATGGTTAAATTTGTTAATTTCTGTTTATTCAAATCTTAAAGTGTAATAACCTACTTTTCGAGTTACCAAAGACAAAAGCATTTTAGTCTAAGCTTTCATTTTCCTCTTGTATCCGTTGCTTTTGAAGAATGCCTGTTTCAGTGATTTTTATACTCACCAACGCACGCCTCCAGATTCACGCTAATTTTCATGAAAATTAGAAAATGTATTTAAACAGTATAATATTGTGAAGTTGAATGAATGCAATTTACACATTATCAATGGCACTTACAACCCATGTGAATTATCATAAATAGGTCAAAATATGCAAAATTAGCCCATACTGAGTTAGTAAAGCAGTAGAAATATAGTTATAAATACTGAAAAATCGGTCTAAAATATAAAATTCCTAAAATCTTAGTACATTTTTCTCAGGTTTGATTTTATCGAAATATTTTTGCTCATCTGGAGGCGTGCAGCTTTAAGTGCTACATCCAAACGTTACCCTACATTTCAACTCAATTTATTTTTTATTTATTTATTTATTTATTTATTTATTTATTTATTTATTTATTTATTTATTTATTTATTCAAAATCAAACTGGACAATCGTTCTGAATATATCGGTAACTCTAAATTCTTAAAAAAGCGGGGCAGTCTTTTTATATTGTATCATAAACTTTTTATATTAAATATATCATCTGTAGGTAATTCATCATTATACGAGGAATTTTTGACTTATCTATTATTCACTTTTATTCACTATTATTCACTTTTTTTAGCATGAAAACAGGTACAATGTGACTCTCAATGTAGATCCGTGCTTTTTCGTCATTTACGACCTCGACAAAAACGGAGAGTTTAGTAAAGATGAACTACAGACAATCTTTGGAAAGGACGAGAAAGCCAATGCTTTGTTTGCAGACCTTGATACAGATCCAAGTATGCATTAACCTTATAATAATAAATCGTACATCAAACTATTATGCACACTGTTATATTATGATTTATTATAATTAAAACAGTTATTTCAATAGTGAAATTTTAATTGTCGCTCCAATATTGGACTGCACACTAGTTATTACCTTTCAACTGGAGATACCGCTTTGGTTCCATTTTACTAACTTAAAGTTACAACAATGAAGTGTCCAGTCATTTGAACTCGAACTATAAAAGACGAAATATATTATACAACAGTTTTAACTTATTTTGTGATTGATATTTGGTTAATATTGCATGTCAATTTTGAAAAAAAAAAACATATCATCTATTTTTATATATGGGCTTTCTTTTCAAAACCTCATCAAATAATTGTTAATGATTTCTATTGAAGGTGATGGAGTAATAACGGAGGAAGAATTCATGACGATGGCACCGCTAATGATATCAAGTTGTTTTCACATGGAGAATTGAAAGTCCAAATAAATGAAAAACGTGTCATGTATTTGCCAGTTTAGTTTATATTAATGAACTAAATAAAAACGCTCTAAATTCTTGTTATTGTTATTATTGTAATGATCATGAAGATTGTACAGTGACAAATACTGCTGGTCCGCTGACGCTTCTATAATTCTGATACTGCAAAACAAAGCAAAGTATCAGGTTTTAGGGGACCTTTGGTGGGGTTTTTTGTTGGTTCTTTTGTGTTGAGCACCAACACTGTACAAGTCATTTGACGACTTTTCAGCTTTACTGGTGAGGGATGACATCAGGTGCCCCTCCGTGCATTATTTCCGGCACTTGAGAAAATCCACCGACTTTCTGTAAGATTTAGCTGGATAGCTTCCTGATATAAAAGAATCCAAAGTCTCATGCGGATTCGTGCCAACAGCGATAAGCGACAAGTGATTTTAAACCATTGACCTTAGCCGCTCGGCCATAAAACCCCCAAAATTATCAGAGGCACCGTTCAAGAACTGAAATTTCTAGACAAAAATAATATCACACACAGCTACCTGCATCTTTCAACACAGAACATCAAGGGCGGTCCATGAGCTCGTTCAATAAAAGCATTGGCCTTTGCTACTTATACGGTCAACAAGTTCAATAAATGTAATATTTTTTCATGTATCCGAATTATACAAACCTGATTTTCGATTTATATAATATTCAGTATTAGAAAAAGTGTCGTACTATGCTTGTGTTTTATTTTTGTTTCGGACAAACTTTTGAATACTACGACAGGCATTATACATAATAATTTATATCATAATGCTTTCAAGTACTTTATAAATCATTGCATATAATTGCTGCTGTAATGTATCTTTTGTATTGTTGAACAAATTGAATTATATTGTTATATAATAAGTTAGTAACCTTTAATACCAGTATTCAGTCTATTTATTTGACGTATGGTACTAGATAGAGAAAAAAATGTGTTGTACCCGTTAGATATACTGTTTTCCAAAGTACTGTACTCCTTTGTGATTTAAATGATGATGATAATGATAATGATGATAATGATGATGATAATGTGTAGCAGAGTTGTTACTGTCACCGAGTTTCCATACTTAATAAGTACGATAACCGCTAATAGGATGCAAAAAATTTTGGGCAGAAATTTCTTTCTTCGCGCCGGTCCCGAAAATATTCCCTTAACATTATTTTATTCCCAGGTTTTATACGTTTTAAAACACTAAAACCAGACTACTCAAAACGAGATCATTATAAAATTCGGAAAAAAATTTTTTTAGGAATTCAATAAAATGTAACTGATTAAATTTGAATGGGCATTTCCTACTAAAAATTTTCTCTTAAAACTCAAAATATCATTCAGTATAATTATATTCACATTTTCATTTGCATTAAAGGCCCATTACACCTCAGACATGCTTGTATTTTTAATTCTCAAAAGCTTTTTAATGTTGGTGCCCTTTATAGTGTTTTAAAAGTTACTCATTGGCCAATTACCTGAACCATTATTTCCTCTTTTTTTTGGCAATAATGGTGATTAAGTACTTTATATGAACTTCATTTGCATTTAGTTAACAAAAGCATCGACCATTGTTTTAAACGTTATGAAAATTCATACTTGCCTTTTTTAAAGAAGATTTTTATTCATTTCTGAAGCATACTAGTAATTGACGTGCATTAAATACAGTTTCGTTAACGGTTGCATTTTTTGCTGATGCTATTGTATATTACATAATTTATCTGTCTGACATCTTAAAACACATTGCATTAAAATGTTTCTATAACTCAACATGGTGTAAATATTTGCACTTTTCTTCACACATGAACGACGGCGCTTTATGTAATTAAAATGTAAACAACGATGTTTTAAAATTTTATCATTTAAAACGTTCTGCAACGATCCGTACAGAAGCTTGCCGTATATCGTCTAATAAGATCAAATGATTTAGACATTAACGCTTTGAAATAATAGCTTTTTTGAAATTGTGTATACCATTTCTTATCTTGAGGTCTGAAATAGGGGTGTTTGTTTATTTTCAGTGCTAGTTAAAACCATGGACAGAAATAAGTTCCTTCCAAACAAAACCAGCACAAAAAATGAGACTTTAAATTGCGCTGAATTTGGTGATAAAAGTCTATCGTTCACAGTATACTTTATTTATTTATTTATTATTATTATTATCATTATTATTATTATTATTATTATTATTATTATTATTATTATTATTATGCTTGGGTACAGTTGTTCTGAATAAGTATTCAAAATACTACTTTGTTATTTTGCTACTTTAATGACATTTTTTCACATTGCATGTACTTTATTTAGGTAACAAGCATCTAACATTCACTAAGATCATTATTTAAAATCCACGGTTGCCTTTCTTTCTTAATAAGTAAAAAAAATATTTATTTCTGAAGCATAAAGTGCTTTTAAGTCAATGTCCATATTACAAACAGTATACAAGTATCTTTGAATTGCAGCGTTTGACATCAAAATGCATGTTGTATCAATTTATTTCCAAGTATACCTTGTTAAAATTAGTCGTTACATTGCAATCTTTGTCAGACTTTAAGTCTATCGTTACAGCTATCTTTGCAGCCTTTGACATTAGAATGTTGTAAAATGCTACCAAAGTTAGTCACCCGTATTGAGGCATGTCATCTTGCACATCCTTGCAGCCAGGCCAGGCTCTATACTGATGATAGTACAATATTTTAATTTGATATTAAAATACCTTTAAAGCAGAATATTCCATTACCAAAATCCAGTACAGATTGTTGGTTAAGGGCCGGTCAAGTCATTTATTAAAAAATACATGAATTTCAGTAAATTTATGGAAAAGAGAATTTCGAACAAAATAGCTATCCAAAGTGCAATCATGGCGCAATGTCCAATATAGAAAAATGAGGTAAAAAATGAATTTTTAACCACCATAAGCGTTGTTTGTTCTACAAATGAATATTTTAATACAGTTTTTTTTACTGAACATTGAGGAAATATAGTAAAAGTAACGCATATGTCTTATACTAGTTTTAATAACGTATTTTACTATTTTAGGACCTCTATTAAGATAAGATATTCGTATGTAGGTAAATATGGTAGAAAAACTGTATCCAGTTACAATTTGACATAGCGTCAAAATTTAAAGTCATATTTGAAACTACTTAAGATTTTATAACTTTGATGCGAGATAACTAGTTAAGCATTCTAACAATGCAATAAGAAATATATACATGATAGCGGATATTCTTTAATGTAAACATGATTTCAAATGAAAGTTATTTGCCCTAATTTTCGACAAATACATTTTAGACATGGGTTATAAGTAAAACTTTCAGTTTTCTTTTTAAATCACTCATTCGGATCAGTGATATGGGTATGTCTTATTGACTAGTTAATATCTTTAAAAGGCAGGAGTAAACTTTTGTAATCGATATATTTATGAGTAAGTTTCTCTTACTTTAAAAAACATTTGTACAATGAAATAACGTTTAAAGTGCTGGCTATTCTGAAACTGACATAACTGGTCAGCTGATCGATCTAACAAAAGTTTTATTTTGGACATATGTTACTTTTATGGATTTCGCTTAACGCAGGTACGCAATAAAAATGTTCTTGCATTATTTCTTTAAAATTATGATTTCTACTGGTAATAATCTCTAAACGGGCCGCAAAAATGGTCAGTTGGAATTTCCCATGAATAATAAGTTAATCAATATACCTTGAACAAACATACAAACACGGATAGACACCGTGCACATATGACAAATGTGTCTTGGCACTTTACACACATGTGACCACCTTCTCTGGTGCCAACTAGTCAAGAAAAAGTTCAATAACTTTGCATAGAGTATAATATGAAATAATGCAAAAGACGTACTTGACATTTCAACATGTATTCAATGTTCAAGTTTATTTTGAAAATATTGATGCTATCAGATGAAGTAGTTTATTGATCGATTGTTTATTTATGGGAATCGATAACTTCAGGATCCGCATCTTTAAGCACATCTGTTGGAGTAGCCGTACGTTCTAAACAATTAAACACGTCAGGGTTTATTTCAATGTCACAAATCATCACTGTATTGGATGTAGCGTCAGTACACCTGTATAATTATTGTGTATATTTATATAACATTGTGCACATATGTAGGGATAAATGTTAAATTACGTAATCTAAATACGGATGTATTTTGGTTTAATATTCAATATTATATTTTATGATTACACACGCAATTTCAGTGTTTGGTATACATTTAGTGCAGTTAAAAATGTGTTGCCCGGGAACATTTTAGCAACAATGACATTAAAGGATTTTCTCCTGGGTATACTTTTTGTCATATATTCAGGGAACAAACATATAAACTATCTTTGGATATAAACCGATGTAGATAAAACTTGTTATAAAACCTTACTACCTATTAAGCTTTACTTTTTATTCTAAGTCACCCTTAAAAATATGCTGTTTGCAACTTCCGACCCATTGCGTTTGCGTTGGGTCGGGTTGGGTTTTTAAGTATACATTTCAGAAACATAAAAGTATGTAAACCAAAATCAAAATATGGTAATCCCAATGTTAAAATACAAGACATTCATTTTAATATACATGTACCTCCTTAACTTTGTGTGCAGATATGACTTAGCGTTAATAATTATTGTTTCATTTTATGGGAAACTCCTTGTTAGCCGAAAAGACGGCGGGGGATATAGAAATAGTCTCCGTCCATCCGTCAGTCAGCCGTCCTTCCGTCCCACATTTTTGTCCTTAGCGTGTCTCAAAAAGTATTTGAGGTATCAACTTGCAACTTCATAGGTGGATAGATCTCATTGAGGAGGGGTGCAGCATACAAGAATGATAAATCTACCCTGCATTATTTTTCAGTTATTGATTTTTGTTATTTTCAGCCATCAGTATTCATATAGGTTTCAAATCTGTAATCACTTCAGCCATCAGTTTTCATTACCAAAAGACCTCTTAAAATTGAATTATTCTGCTCTACTACAAATACATTCTTCCAACGAGCAAACACATTCGGCGGGGGATGGCCATATTAGCATATGGCTCTTGTTTACAGCTGTTGCTTTCCAGCAACCATCCGCTGTGGGTTCGAATCCCGTCATGGGCTTCTTTTTTTCGCGCGAGGAAGCTACCGTATCAAGCCAGCTCGCAGAATATAGGTGGTTCCACTCGGACTGTGCCGTTTATGCACATCTTGATGAGGTCTTCTTCCGCTAATTAATCTGGAAAGTTGCCATATGACCTTTACAGTGTTGTTGTAACAAACAAACTACATTTGAGCCGTGTCATGACAAAACCAACATAATGCGTTTGCGACCAGCATGGATCCAGACCAGCCTGCGCATCCGCGCAGTCTGATCAGGATCCATGCTGTTCGCTATCAGTTTCTCTACTTATAATAGGGTTTGTAAGCGAACAGCATGGATCCTGATCAGACTGCGCGGATGCGCATGCTGGTCTGGATCCATGCTGGTCGCAAACCCATAATGTTGGTTTTGTCGTGACACGGCTCATTTATAAAATCCACTTGTATCGTTACCTAACAAAGAAATTGATATGAACTGTTTGAATTATTATTAGGTTTATTCAATATTCTAATACATCAATAATGAATTTAGACACTTTATCTATTTTCCTTTAAGATAATTTAAACTGCCTCATTTGAATCAATAGTTAATTTGATAAAAACGTCAGCTTGATAAAAAGGCTTCGATCTCCTTTTTTTCTAAGGACGGAATTAATGTGTTTCATGATGTAGTTTGCCAGCAATTATTTTGTCAGGATGATAATATGATATTCACCATTGATTAATAAATCTAACACAAAATACATCTCAAACTAAGTAAATAGCTTTTAGAATTAGAGTTTAATGGCTTATTCTTAATATGTTTAAACGTGTGATGTACTTCAATTTCAGTGCAGCGGTGACGCGTGAGATGTGGTTCACGTGCATGTATATTTCCGGGATAAATTGGACCTGGACTTATTAATCTCTTATTTATGACAATTTCCTTCACAGTTCAAGGAAATCATCGCATAGCTGATGAATGTATACAGTATCGACAGAAACATTGAGCTTAGCACAATTATACCAAACTTTGAAAAATGCAATAACATTGCACTTTGAAAAGTGGGATATTAAATTTTATAGATACTTTATAAACTGAATACCTTTAATTTACCTTGACTGGATATAGATAGTATTCGATTGATAAAATGTCATATAATTTATACATCAGATGATCGGCTAAGTGATTTCGATGTCCATAAACCGAAGATGAAACAACGATGTGCGTGTTTTCATTTTGCAATGATAAAACTGCAGCTCAGAGTTCGGATTTAAGATTAACTGATAATAATGATGGGGTTAATCCAAATTTGAACTATCAATATGTAAGATAGAGAAGTAAATAACGATTAGTATCTTTAATGGCATAATCTAATGCACTATCTATGGAAGATATGGTATAAGGCTCCCCTGCAAACATTATTTTTTTCGGAATTGTTAAATCAAAATTCAAAATATTTACGTAAAGGATCTTTCAGTTATATTGTAAGTCTTGGATATTGTGTGAAATATTACTTTACAATACATTTACAAGACATGGCTGTTATTTTGGATGTGTTTCAATCAGTATGTTAGTTCACATGAAGGATGCCAGTGCACTCTAAACCTTACGCTGGACGTGCAAGAAATGCCCCACCATTGCTTGGACCTAAACCCTATCAGAAACCTCCACAACACGGACCACATAGTGCTTGGGTAACGCCTGGGAGTCCAGTTACAAGAAATTTCAATAATGAGCCTACAAATAACGGACCAACACATATTGAATCCAATGGACCATTAAGTAATGAATCCAAAAATGACGGTCCGATAAACAATAATGAGTCGTACCGTGGTTCCAGTGTGCAGTTTTCGGTACTTCGACGTCCAGCTGAAAAGAAAACGGACAAAGTTCCAAAATCGCCACAAGTTGTGCGTTTTGGAGCGGCAGAAATATTCGGAAGTGAAAAGTATGAAGATGACGGTGCATGTAGCAGACAACCGGAAGAAGAAGTAAATAGTTCTGCTATTGCAACCAAGCAGACGACAAAGCAGCCGATATCACCAAGTTTGAGTGGTGCTCAGGCTTTACAGGAATGTGAGGTGAGTAAACTCAAAGTACATTGGTCTATAATGAAAGGAATGTAATACCATAAATAATTATGTTGATTTATATCATACGACACAACAAACCACGAAATAATTGACGTATGAAATATTTCTATTGTTTTATCAATATTTGAAATACTTGTGGAAAATGTGCCCATTGTAGACCATTCCACTTTAGTATGTCATTCAGAGTTTTATTTACATTGAAGATATTGATAACATTTTTCTTTCGTTTGATTTACTGTGGTGTGCGGTTTGGAGACATGTCAATATTATATTTATTTCCCTCTTTCTTAAAGATAACCACGAACCCACATGATGTTCCAATAGAAATCATTATCGGATCCAATATTGTCAATTTATCGTCGTTTCTATTTCCAGAGTACAAAACATCCATATCAAATGTTTATCACACCCCATATAGCCTCGTTTTCATTTCTAATTAAGAGTCCAAAATACTTTTATCAAATACATATCGTACTCTACCTAAGCTCATTCAAAAAAATATGCATATTCCTTAATGTATTTGAAGTAACAAAGTTGTCAAAATGTCAAAAAAAAATGTGAAAGAGGTCATTAAACAATTTGAAAGCAATACTGATTCTATTGGACTCGTACACAGCTGCAGTGTTCTCGTCCAATAGAATTCAGTATTGAACTCAACATTGTATAATAACCTCACAATACCATCGTCGGATACCCGCGACCGAACCATTAATGTTATGTTACATGTTAATAAACCGTGGGTATCCGACGATCTCTGTTAAAATGTTTCATATTTTCGTAGTTGTGCGTGACTGACACAGCAGCTGCCCAGTTTCTGAGACGGCGCTCTGTGTTTTGACATAATACTTGCTCCATTATTTAAAATGAGTTTGCAGTGTTTAGGATATGTATGCGTTTTCCATTTTGAAACAGATTGAAACAATAGTTGTTCTTTAAAATGCTCAACACTTTAATTAATTATGCCATATCTACTAAATAGAATAGAATAGAATAGAATTAAATCTAGTAATAGAAAATCTTAACCCATTACCTCATATATACGCGAAACAACGCACTTTCGACCCCCCCCCCTTTTTAGGCCTGAAATAGTGAAAAAATGTCCTATTTGGCCCCCAAACACATGTTTTAGTTTGAGAAATGTTGCTAAAAAAAGTGAGCACTTTTTCGGCGCCGCCCCCCATCCAAAAGATACATGAGGGGGTTACCAGAAGGGGGATGTGCCCCCTTCTGTTTGGGGGGTTTGAAGGGGGCGGAGTACCCCTCATCGCCAAGAAAATTTTGGACTTGTGAGATACCCCAGGTCGATCATAAGGTAACGTGTAACCAACGCTGAAAAGCCTTTGACTCTATCTCAATCCCTTGAGAAGTTGCAGCACTTTGAAATAAATTTTGATGGAAAAAATCGAGGCAAAATAGTGATTTTTGGCAATTTTGAGATGTCCCCTCGTTGCCATGGTAACAGGAAATTTAATGTCGTTACAAAGGCAATGGTCCAGTCAACATTTGTGCCAAGTTTGATTAGTATTGAAGCATTTTTCATAGTTTCATAGCAGTTTGAACTTGTAAGAGGAGGCTTTTCAGTAAAAATGGCCATTTTTCACAATATGCTCATGGGGGAAAGGGTTATCTAAAAAAATTATAAATGTAACAAAACAACAATTTTTCACCAAAATTAGGTAAAAGACCACATGTTAACATGGAAAAACTAGATTTTGGGTGATTCAGAAGTTTTTCATCATTTTTTGTTAATATTAAAGTGACTTTCTTTTTCTTTTTGTTATTGTTTTTTTTCATATGAAATTGTTTATACATATATGCAAACAAAACAGTTACCTCTTATTATTTACTTTACACTCAGCACTTAGAATTCGATCAAAAAGAAAAGTTTAGTTAATCAATTTTATATTATGTCCGACACAACCGCTTTACTGAAACGGGACTAATTTACCAGGAATATTTTTACCTGGATACCGGTAGCAAGGTAACAAAACAAAGAATTTTTATTCTACGAATATTTGTGATTGTCGATTCAAATATCTATTCAAAAGGAAAGATACAGGTAAAACATGTTTGATTTATTAAAAAAGTATGTTGTTCCACAATTTAAATATGTTGATTTATTTTGTGAAACATGATTAAGAAAAACTTCATTATATTCGGATGAACCATTTTCGGATCATATATGTATTTGCATTTAATATAGTGTACTAATGATATCATTTGATCTTGTTATATCTTGTCTTATCTTAGATGTAATAAAAAAGTAAGTAGATCTATAACAAATATTTATGTAATTTAAAATAACACCCAGTATAAGTGTTATTTAGTAATTTACAAAATAAAAAAGCAAAAAAAAAAACAAAACAAAAAAACATGCTCAAACCAAAACATTATGTATACTGGTTGGAGAAATAACTCCGACAATAGATCACATATTTTTTGCAATATCTTAAGTTAACTATCTTCCTGTATATTTTTAATACTGAACCACTAATTTCAGTTCAAATACTTGACATATATATATATATATACTACAAAAATTATGTATGAAAATGGAAACTGGTACACAGTCATGTTCTTCTTTGAGGTCCTGAATGAGGTATACAAAACATGGTCTTTTAATTTTACCCCACAACAGTAGATAAAGTCAACGCTAAAATTTTCAAGTAAAAAATGACAGGAAAATGAGCGTCAATAATTTATTTTTACATCTTATATGTTTTATCTATTTTTTGTTGATATAAAAACAATTTTTCAAAAATCTTTTCCAAGATAGTGGCCTGTGACCAGTACAATTCTAACTACCTGATTGTAATTTATTAAAAAAACGTATTTGAAAAATATTAAAAAGTTTACAAACTTGCAAAAAAATCATCACATTCTGTCCTGCTCCTATACTACTATAGGTGACCATATGCTTGTTTTTTGAAAAACAGAGTTATAACAATTATATTTATCAATTCGGGGTCACTTCAGCCCTAAAACTAACTCGACAGCTGTCACAGTCATCTTGGCCAGATAAAATCTTGGCCAAGTCAATCTAGCCCAAATCAATATAACTGATCAATAATATGAATTATAGCATAAAATCGGCTATTTTTCCCTCTTTTGCCCATGTTATAACGGGACCAAAACCATGTGTTAACATAGTCACGCGCTCTTGTTATAGCCCGGTTTCACCTATGCGCAATACATACAGGGTCCAGTAAACAAACAAACAAAAAATGATGATTTGGCCTGTTTGCCAAAGAGTCATGCGCTCTTGTTATATTGAAATTTATTGATTCGCGGGTCTCAGTCGCATATTCAAGTAACTATGCCGGAAATACGGCGTATAGACATCGGTGCTAATCTTGGTTGTCGCCCTTTCGAAGAAACGGACAGTTGTCAATGTAAACAAATACAGTACAGTAGAATCTACCTGTCATTCAGTTTAACACTCCGATTAACTTACAAAACTAGACAACACAAAATTAATATGAGAAAATGTTTTTTATTTATGTTAATGTTGATAAATGCTCTTTATATTTCTTTGAGAGAATAATGCTTAGTGCCTGATTTTTTTTATAAACTTGTTTGCTTGAAAAAAAAAACTGATTCTGATGTCACTGGTCTTTTTTCTACCGTCAATCGGAAATCATTCTAAGAATTTCTGAGGGTCATGTTTTGTCTTGGGTAGAGGGTAGAGTAATGTAACGTTGTTTTTTTTTCTTGAGATAATAAATCTCCAAAGGCCAAGCTTTGTTAAATCAATTAAAATTCAAAATTTCGTTCGGTTCCGAGAATTTTCCAAGTTGTTGGCCCCGGAAAAATAAAACGCATACGTAAAACATGTAGAATTGGATAAATACCGTCCAAGCACAAGAATTTAATGTAATTGTGTTTTGTATAAACTATACATCACGAATCTGTTTGAAAATTTTATGCTATAATAGCGTCAACGCACGTTTATTTCGTGTTATAAAGTCTGCAGAATCCCTCAGAACTGTTGGAGCACTCGCCCTACCGGGCTCGGGCACCAACCGTTCCTCGGGACTCTGCAGACATTATAACACGGAAAAACGTGCGTTAACCCTATAGTATTTATTTTCTATTTCCATTAAGCATTTACAATGTTCAGGCTGACCTGTTGCAAGTTGGTTTAGGGCTGATAGAGTTGACTCAAATACTTTACGTATCATAACACGAATGTGTTTTATAATTATGTTACAATTAAGTGATCAGCTTGAAAGATACAGCGTAAAAGTGAAATTAGAAATACAATATGTTATACATTTAAACATAGCAAACAATATCATATGAGGCTTTCAGGTTATAACAATGTACATTTTACTTTTATATCCTCCTTCACAGGTGACAGACTTGATAAGCAGTCTGAAATTTTAGCAACTTTATAAAAATTCATCAAAATGACTTTATAACAAAATAAAAAGTGTTGAAGTTATGAAAAAAAACTGTCAATATTTTTGCAGCTTGACTGTTATGTTTTTGTAATAGGGAAAGCTTATTACTATTCACCCAGGCATCAGCATCACAATTTTGGTTAATTTTCAAACTACCCCATTCTTCAAAGTAATGTTTAGAAACTTTGAATGTCTGTTTATGTCCACCATCTCCATGGCGAGGACAATAAGACATAACTCCATCATGTTTTTGACAAAATAATGCTTCTTTTTTCAACTTAATTTTGATTGATTTTTATTTCATACCACCCCATTTTTTTCTATTCTCTTTGAAACTCTGAATATTTGTCCGTATATAACCATCATTCCCACTCCCTTGCAACAGGACATAAATTGGAAAAGAAATTTATCAAAATTTTCACAAAGTGCCCCTTTATCAGCGGAGAATTGCAGTTACATGTAACATTTTTGTTCCACCTTTATTTATTAATAATTCCCTTAAGGTATTGCTTTTGAAACTTGAATACTTGTTAGTAAGTATGCATTATCCTAAGTGCACAATAAAACTGTCTAGACAAAATTATG